TAATTGATTTAAATACTAACTTACGTGAGGTTTTTTTTTGGTATATGGACTTGTCAGCGTCATAGACTAAAGAATGATTTGCACAATGCTATTTTTTTTCGTTACAGTATTTTTGCTCTTTTTTGAGGCCTGAGATATTATCTATATAAATACGAATATATATTAGCTGTTGCCCTTCGTTAGAATAGAAACGGGGACAATTCATTACAATCAAAATTGGCATTGTAACCCATATAACCCAGGAATGGATTACTTAGGATACCTGCAGCTGATTTTCACCATCGGACGTCGAGGCAGAATACGAATTTCCACTCGTATCGCCTCGACGTCCGTCGTTGCACAACTGAGCCGTTTTTAAGGCAGTTTTTGCCACGCACCACTACTATGTGGAACCAGCTGCCCACTGAAGTATTTCCGAACCAATTCAATTTAGGGTCCTTCCAGAATGAGCGTACCAATTCTTAAAAGACCGGCTACGCGAGCCCTCTGGCATTGAAAGTGTCCATGGGCGGCGGTATCACTTAACATCAGGTGAGCCTACGCCCGTTTGCGCCCCTGTTCTATAAAAAAGAAAAAAAAAATAGCTTTCTCTTGATTAAATAAATTTAAAAATCGATTTTTTCGTGTCAGATTACTTCCAACAAATTTATAAACTGTATAATATTCTTAATAGTATGGATATATCTGTATGGATTACTCAATGATCCGTAAATATCAGCACGCGAAGGCACTATAAAATTGGCTGTATATTTTACACGCAAGGCTAGATTTCTTATAATCGAGTGCGTGCAACTGAAATGTGATAAGTTGCATTCGGCACAATTACCTTATTACCCTTTGAATGTTTGCCAAAAAACTGGCAGAAGTTATCGGCCGTGCGTTTTTGGCACAGTGGTCCGGATCTATGCGGCGATTATGTCATGGATCGTAGTTCGTCCGCTTTCCAGTCGCCAATCGAGTCGCCAATATTAGTCTTGAAATCATAATTTACTTTTACTGTACCCATTCAAAAATTTTAGACCATAGAGCAGACATACCACCAAGCAGGATATTGTTTCTTATCTTTGGGCCGAAGCTCCCTACTGCCAGATCCTTTCATTGGATGGCATCCAGCGCAGGGCGGCTCAAATTGTCAACGACCCCGCTCTTTCCGATCGATTTGATCCTTTGGCTTTGCGTAGAGATGTTGGTTCCCTTAGCCTCTTCTACCGCATTTATCAGTACTCTGAAGAATTGTTCGGACCAATACATGAGTTGCATCAGACTTTAAGGCAGAATGCAAAATTCCATCTAGACACCTGACGCCACAACACAGCGCTTTTTAAAGCACTTTTAGCCTCGCACCACTTCTTTGTGGAACCAGCTGCCTGTAGAGGTATTTACAAACCGAAACGACCTATGGGCCTTCAAGAAACGAGCGGAAACTCTGATAGGTTGGCAATTCACCCGCTGTCCCTCGGCGTTGCAAGTGTCCATGGGCGTCGGGTACTACTTTATTCAAAATGACACACCTGCTCCTTTGTCTCCAGATATATTTTAACGTATTGAGATGGAACATGGCAGTTGCCTTCCAAGTTCACATATAATTTTTCAAAACATACTTTCTGTAAAATTTGTTATTGATCACAGTCTTGGAGTAACTAGCAACTCACACCATCCCAGTTTTTTATACTATCCTTGTGGCAGTTACATCGTATTCTTAGTTTACAAAATTAAATAAATTAAAAACTTTTATAAAATCTCATTTGGTAATATTCTAATTATGAAATGGAATACAGACTTTTATTGGCATATTTTATTTACATACTTCTTTAATAAAATTAAAAAATTAAATTAAAGCATTATTCTCCTAATAAAACAATGCTTTAAAACTATTTTTTAATTATTAAAGTACAATGTACTCGCCTGCCGCTCGTTTCAACTACACTCATGTTTTAATACCCTCTATTATACTATGACATTTGCATAAACTACTATTTTGTAACATATATATATATATTTAAGTGTATTATTATAAGTCTATATAATATATTATATTTAAGTGTATTTTATTATTAATCATGCAGCGTAATTTTTTGTAACTTTATTACTTTTACGTTTTTGTAAGCAAGATTTTTATTTATGTTTTAAGTTAGCTGTCCAAGCCAATAAATAAATGTATGTGATACATAAAATCCGTTTGAATAGAAGTACAATATACATGCACATATACAGTGTATTTCAATATACATGCAGACAGCCGGGTGTCATTTTGTGATATTCCTGGAAGGTCACCCTCAGGAGCTTGATTTATTGCATCTGCTCCTTTAAAATGCTTTGTAAGTTTCATTCTATGTATAGTTTTCGCACTAAACTTATAGCGACTAATGTTATGAATGATTTTTCCTTAAGAACATATTCCAAATGATACATATAATGTTAGAAACTTTTTGGTTTTTACTCTCCGTGCAATTTCTTAACATTTAGAGATCGCTTACCCGTGACACTCATATCTTTTAAGTTATTATTAATCCTTTGTTATTTTCTGCATTAGATATAGACTAAACATTTATTTAGTACGTTATAGTTACGAAAAATTATATTTTTCCCTGAATGCTAGGAGTGTTAATAAATGTTACCCTTTTCTATACTTACATATTATAATCAATGAGTTAAAATACGACATATTTTATAATGTGACGTAAGTTGTACGTAGTTAATGTTACGAATGTTGCTATTTTTAAAAGCTTTTTTATAAGTCTTGACCTATTTTTCGTTCATTATAGTGGATCCTCTGCAGTGTTTCAGAATATATTGATATAACGAATCTTTATGTATTTGTTTTATCTTCAATGTTCCGAGTATATTATGTAGAAAAGATTACAACACCAGGTTTTTTTGTTGACTTCTTTAAAGGTACTTTTAGTACGACTGAGAGTTAAAAATGCCTGGAAAAATCGTCTAGAAGACAATAGAATCTACTGTACAATTAAATAATATTCTATCAGCACTTTGAACCTTGGAAAATAGCACAGGCTTTTTACTCTACGCTATTATTAATGTATATCGTCATCGTCGTCAAATCTGCAAACAACTAGGCAGCGCCTAAAAATAATTTTATGCATCTGACATTGCAGCGTGGAATGTGTTACACTTATTTTTATAATACACGGTGATTTTTAATATCGTGTTAACCTAGTGATTAAAAGTGTTTCTCAATGCCTTAGTCGTGGGTTAGTACCTAACTCTGCAAATGGTTTTTCTTGTGTGTGCAATTATGGTGAAGGAAAGCATGAGGAAATCAGAAATATTTATGATATCATATCTACGGGCTTAAGTGTGCGACGCTCATCACTGAGATCGTAGCTTTGATCCACGGCTGTGCAACGTTTGACTTTTCTGTCTATGTGCGCATTCAATACTCGCTCGTACGGCGATGGAAAACATCGTCATGTCGAATCCAAAAATCGAAGGTATGTGTCAACAAACACCTACTTGTCTATAAAATAAAAAAAATGTTTAAAAAAACATGAAAGCTAAGACCCATATAGAGTTGTAAGCCACTGGATTATTATTATGATATCGTAAGATACCACACCAATCTTTAGTCATTATTTTATTAGTATTATCAATAAGAAGTTGTTGCGGGTAATATCTATAACATACACTGTACCGCACATGAATTTATTTCCCTAAGTTTCTTAAGCAATTAATTAGCTTTGAAACCGCGTCTCATGTTAAACTGCAACCCGATATCAACATGTTTCTTACTAATTAGAGCCCTCATAGTTACCAAGGTGTATGCACGAATTCACGCATTGGTATTATCTAGTTATTTGGGAGTTATTAATCCATATTATAATGAAAAAGGTGCTTGCTTCATAGTCAGCAAGTCTTAATCGAAGTCCCCAAAATTTGGTAAAATTAATTACTATATACAGAGTTACTTTGAATTTCTGTTGGAGATTTGTTCGTTGTAAACCGGTTTCTTAGATACATTGTGACCACATCCGTAATTTGTATATATCAGTGGAAGTGTCCAATCAGTCTGGGTGACCTGCAAGTCTAGATCAACTGAACTACTTTTAGCCCACTTTTGTTACGAATTAATTTGTAACCACCCACTTCCTTACCATCAATTGTTAACATGAACTACGCCGTTGCTGGTTATGATTGTTTGATCCAATAAAAATATACTCAGGAGTGCAACGTTTTTAGAAAGGATGTTGATTTTTATACTAAGTAGTTTTAATAATAAAACAAGGAAAAATCATGAATACCTTTTAACAGAAATTAGAGCGCACTAGAACCAAATTTAAATTATTTATTTTAAAAACGTAAGCCCCTATTTCTGCGCCAATTTAAATCCTGTGATAACAGCGAACAGGTAAGTGGGTCACTTAGTTTCAGATAAAATAGTTTTTATTCAATATTTAGATTTAAAAAATTAATAACGAAATTATACGTGCCATCCGCTACGTCCTTATAAGTTTCAAATAGACTATTGTTTTTCTCCGTTAGGTAAGCCAAAAATGGATAAGAAACGCCTGTGCAATTTTAATTAATAACAATTTAAATCGCCCGTGCTGATAATACATTTGTTTGTTAGTATGAAGTAGCCGGCGCGCCGAGCGGACTTCCCTTCGTTCGACGAACGCGCACCGCGTACACGTCTCAGCGTAAAAATAATTCTAAAGCGCGCCTGCGTACTTCAACCCATTTATAATTATTAGTAAATCGCGGTGCGGGCGCATGACTGCCGCGCTTAGCTGTCGCTAGCGAAACAAAGTTTTAAACGATTGTGAACCTATTCCGAGCCCAGTTAACAAGCCCTTGTGAAAGCCGAAACTAAATCCCTAACGTCAATGTGCCTACGTAATATATTACGTCAACGTTAGCACCCACGCTAAAGATACCGGCGCAGGCGTGTACTTTATACGTTAACACATCGTGCTTGTGTTTGTGCATTGTATATAAACGTTTCTTATCAGTGATTAAAGTATTGGTGTGAGAATCTCGATATGCCAGATAAAAATAAAAAGCGCAAGAACAATAAAAATAAAAGGAAGAACAAAGGGCAGCACCAGCCAAGTAATAATAATACACGTATTTCAACTGAAGCATGTGACCAGAGACCGGAATGTGTTAAAAAAACTGATTGTTCGCAAATAACAAGAGACGAAATCACGGAATCGCAAGTAAAACTTGTTGTTGAAGCTACTACTCACGCAGTGACCTCAAACGTTGATTCTGAAATCTCAACTGACTTAAAAGAACTACCAAAAGAAATAGAATCTTCTAGTGCTATACCACCCTATCAATCAACGTCAGATGCAGGCATAATAACTATAGAAAATACTCAATTATTCGAAGCTTATAAAGTAGAATCTCCAGAAAAATCTATAAAATCAATACCAAAATTGCGAAGTGATATAAAAAGTAAAAGTGTTGATAATGATGATCGACCAATTATTGTAGAAATAGTTGAAGGCTTTGATAAAAATGAGCTTAGCAGTTCCTTGGCAGACTCAAATAATATTCTTATCACTGAATTTGAGCCTGAGGTTGAATGGGAAAACACCTGTGATATAAAAAACAATAGTTACATCGAAGAAGATAATGTAGCTCCAGGAGTATTATCTGTTATTACTCTACCACTTAACGTAGCAGAATGCGAAGAGGTTAAATCTATGAGCCCAGAAGAAGAGAAATCTTTAAGACAATATTTAAATACATTACAGTTATCTTCAAATACAGGTGTTTATAAAGAATTGGAAATAAATCCAGAAATAGAACAGCAAGTGAATCATGATATAAAACAACGCTTACGCAAGAAACCACAGGCTGAAGAAAGTTATAGTTCTATGACAGGACCTGCAAGATCTTTACATGTAATTGATGAAGAAGCAAGCGGGGAATCTTCGTCAGTTTCGCGTCGTCATTCTTACCTTATTGAGAAAAAAAGTGAGGATGAGGAGTTAGACGATGATGTTTTTTATGCAACAAATGAAACCAAACCAGAAATAAAGTTAAGAAAGGGGCGCAAATCGAATAATTTAATAAGTCAAGAATGCATACGTGTTGATGCTCAGCTTAAAAATCCAGAGATAACTGAAGCAAGAGGTTCCTGGACGACGTCGACTGTTGAAAAAATTACAGGAGCTGAAATTGTATATCTGACAGACTCATCCAGTAGCACTAGTTCGCTTTATGATAATAATGATATCGAAGAAAAAAATGACGATAGTGATGTGTCTGTTCGTATTATAACACCGACTATTGAAGTCATTGATGCTGATAAATTCTTAAAAAATGATTATAATTTTAATATTGTCAAGTCACAACTTGATCATAAAATAAACAATAACGGCTTAAACGATTATAATGAGAAGGTAAACCAGAATTTTGACAGTAATTATTCTGAAAACGAACAAAATGAAAGATATAATAAGAATATATCTAAAGAAAATCACGAGATTCTTGTTTTATCAACAGACAATATAAATACCAATCTATTCGTAAAAGATGTAGAAAAGAATAGTTCTGAAATACCGACTACATCGGTGGATACCAAAAAAGTGGTAGATAATTATGATCTTGAAATAAAAGTTTTGAAATGTGAACTTAACGATGCTATTAATAATTTAATAAAGGAAGTAGTCTCAGAAACAGATGCAACGCGAGAATATCGCAATGATTCATTAGAACGGCAAGATTCATCTAGCAGCGTTGGCTCGTCCCAATGTACTGCAAAGTATAATCCTAAGTGTTCTTCACTTAATGATATTTCTATGGCTGAATTTGATGAAATTGATAAAAGTAATGAATCCCAGACACAAACAAGCGAAAGTAAAAGTCACGTTAAAGATGTCATAACAAATGTTCAAAATATAAACCGCCATAATATTACATATGAAAAGGCCATCGAAACCCCAAGTCTTCGAGATATGTGTTTGGAAAAAATTAGTAACTTGCCATATGGTGAACAGATATTAGAAGAATTAGCCAGTGTATCGGAACGATTGCAAACATTAAGTGACCACGCTGCTCCTATTGGTTTATCAAGAATCACAACTTTCAAGGATACCAATAGTGTAATACAAAATGGATCTAATGTCAACACGATATCACGTGACAAAGTTGTAACCCCTCCTGCTGTACAACCTCGCAAATCTTCGTTAAAAATTAATCAAGACGATACTTTAAAAATTAATTCTATAAAATCAGAGAGTATGCGATATAACTGTCTATCTCCTTCGCAAAAAATGTTAATGGAGACAACCAATTCACTATCACATCTCAAAAATACAAAAACTTCCGAACAAAAAGAAAACGTAGAAAACAAAAACGAATTGTCTAATCCGATTAATAAAAATACGATTGATGTGCCATTTAAATCACAAACTGGAAGTCGTTTATTAGCATTATTACGTAATCCATCAGTGGCTACCAATTCACATAAACCAAAATTAAACGATGATAATATTTCTAATATATATGAGAGACATACAAGTCAAGGCCATACAATGTCCAAACCAACAAGAGAACAAAGTATACATAGCACCTCAAATAGTTTGAAGCCTATACCACCGCCAAAGCCGAGAAAATATTCATCATCTTTGTACGAAAGTGATGAGTCATCAGATTTTATTGATAATTCTTTTAAGTCAGTGAAAAACCATAAAAAATATTTTCACTTCTCGACCGGCAACTTAAGTCAAGAGATAGAAGATGATATTTCCTCTATTCAAAATATGCACAGACATTATAATGACATGTTTAGGCAAGCAAGAGAAGATCTACATCCAAGACGTCCATCTTTGCCTAAAGATTTATGTGATCAACAAATGGAATATATTCGCCGAAAAGAAAAAGAAGTTGAAGCAGAAATTGATCGACTAGAAAGGGAACGAATTAATACGCCTCAAAAAAGAGGACCTAGGGCCCCTATGTTAAATGAAGAGTTTGAAAGTGAATCTTTTAAGTCATTCAATCGCATTAGAAATAGCCAAAGTCACGGGGTTTTACCGTCGCTTATTTCACCAAGTCCCGGAAAATTGTCATCAGTATTTAGTAAAAGCCAAGAAGAATTATTAAGAAATAAAATGTATTCTGAATATCTCAGCCAAATGGCAGAACGCGAGGAAAGAAAACAAAAGAAGATTATTAAAATAACCAAAACACCGTGCTCAAGTAATTCGTATTCCAAGAGTTCATCGGAATTAACCATTTTCGATTCCAAAGTTAACAATCGTATTGAAAGAGAATTTATTGACAGAGCTAAGGATAGGTGGAATAAATTGGGCTTTAAGGATCCAGAAACGGAAGATGAATATGATAGAAACTCTAACAGAGAACCAAAAGTGATTGAACATAAAATAAAAGTGATTGATTCGGGTGAAGAAAAAGACGTTCAAAAATTGCCAAGTCACTTACAAGACTTTGTGAAGTTTAGAGCGAAAGACAAAAGTGTTAAAAGTGAGAGTCCTGGTGAGTCGGAATCCAAAGAAACTGCTTCGCATGGTGTGGTTTTGTGTGCAGTGATAATATTAATATTAACAATTACTAAATATATATTTCGGTTATTCCGCCGTTGATGTATTATAATATTACGGATTTTCAAAACTATTTAATGTAGTAGTAGCATGATATATTTCGCATGATTTGATGTTGTTATAAGTGTTAATTTGTAGAATTGTAGAAATTAAATTATCCAATTATCTAAAGAAGACGCAAATGACTAAGGTAAGATAGTTCAATAAAGTTTTCTAATCAACATGTCGCTACCTCTTTTATTGAAAATATAAAGTTCAATAACAAATTTAGACTGTAGACTTAGAATCCTTCAATAAAAGAGCGTATCAATTCTTAAAAGGCCGGCAACGCATAAGCGCCCTCTGGAATTGAGAGTGTCATGGGCGGTATCACTTAACAACAGGTGAGCCTCCTGTCGGTTTGCCCCTGTTTTATACAAATAAAGGAAAATATATATTTTATTTTATTTCTAAAAATATCGTTTGCATAATATATTCAATTAAACGAAATAAACGTTAAAAGAATCATAGATTTCTTTATTAGATTAAACAAGCTTGTTAGCATTTAGAATAAAATTCTGTATAACATTGTTAGTGGTTTAATATAACAGTCATCATTACATTCTATAAATTTTCATGTTGGATATATAATAGGCATTTTGATTACGTATGAAATTAGCATTTGCTAGATAACTGTGTTATCGAAATGGCAAATGCATAAACAAGTTAATTACTAACATGACGATTCTAGGTTTATTTTTGTTGTCAAAAATATTTTATTATTATTTTTTCATTAGATAGCCAACAGCTATTATAAATATTACAAAAAAAAATATGACAAAGAATTGCCATGAACCGCAAAACTTAGTAAAATATAATACTTATAAATATTTCGGTTGTTTGTGCGTACGTATGTGTTTATGTGTGTCTGTGTTTGTGAGAAGGTATGTGTGACTATTTACTTAATAAAAATTGTTTTGTATATCATCTTTGTAGGAGGCCTTTGTTTTATTAGAATTCCTTTGTCAAAACTTGTCACGAAATGAGTTAGATCTTTTGTGACACTTGTCTTGTCTTAATTATAGAACAAATGCGGTAAATGTGTAGCTATTATAGTAACGTCTTAATTAGTAAATTGTTACAAATATGAAATGAAAAACTGATTTAGCTTATACTACCAAATATCATTTGCAAGAGAGCATTGCCCGTGAAAATATTTAGTTCAGGCTATATTCGTACGAAATGGCCTTTGGTGACTAACATTTTCATCTTTACGCGACGGTTTCTTAGTTTTTATTCGAAAATTTATAAAGCGATAATATGTTTTGTGGCACCTTAATATTACCGAAATGACACTAAATCAAGATCATAATTAAGACTGGCTTTCGACTCTTGAAATTCAATTTTTTTTATAAATATAATTATTTATAATTGGTATCACAAAAATCACCTATACCAATGAAACACTCATACCGGAAAATCAGAAGAAACTATGAACTTATGAAATACTATTTAGATTACATTTTATATGCAATATTTACTCAATTCCATTATGATAAAGTGATATAATACTGTTGTTGACGAGATCGACGTGCACTCTAAATTATTAATCTAAGCCCTGATAAATGAGGGTCGAAATTTCAATTATAATTATCTGTTCCAAAGCGAGCATAGTAGAGGTTCTATTTTGTAATCAAACCATTTAACAGTCTTTTGTTTTAAAAACAAGGTGAGAATCGTTGAAACAAAATTATGAAATTATAAAGTAATAATACGATAAAAACTAACCAAACGGTACTTGTATGGTTCACCTATGTGATGTTTAAGGAAAATTTCGGTGCATTATGGTTTTATGAAAATCGACTGAAATATAACGGTTGCCGAAATTGATGCGGGCGTCACTGCGGTAGGAAGCTCAATAACTCTAAGTATACGTTGATACTGCGTTCTAGTTTTTGTATAGTCTACGAATGCTTTTGAAACGAACGAACATCATTTCTCCGTTTAATCCATACAAAAGTTATTATTACTATCCTCTTACTTTTACTAATTTTACATGTTATCTGTACTAGCTAAGAGTACATGTAAACGTATATGAACTAAATATGTCCTCAATTGCATTTGTATATATATCTTAAGGAATTTCCTACTAACCCGTATTAAAAGATAATAATATAATAGAGCTGTTTTCGTATGAAAGCGTAACCAACCAGTTTAAATATATTATAGTCATTGAGTAAAAGTGTGTGTGTAGTGTTACGTTTTCTTTTGTAATTAACTTTATTAGTTTATTAGTATGAAACGTGCGTTGATACTTCATGTTCTAGGGCAATTTACAGCCAGCGGAAAGATCAAACTATTGAAGATCTTTGATACCATTGATTCGTCTAAAAATAGATGAAGACTAAGATGTTCCATTTTCTGGCAAAGTCTAGTGTTGCCTGTGCTTGGCGGTTCAATCAGTCGTAAAGATAGGCATAACATATTTAAACCTGGCTCCATACTATTGGCAAGCTGATGTTTACGTCAATACGTAATGGACAGTAATAGACCATTATTTCATGAACTGTTTATGATCTAATATCTTTTGTAAGCTTTCTCTTTTCCTATTTTATTTAACATTATGATGTTTGAATAATATTAAAAAATCAATTTATGAATGTGTTGTGAAATAAGCGAAAGGTTTGAATTTTTAATTTAATCTAATATATAAAATTCTCGTGTCACAATGTTCGTTCCCATACTCCTCCAAAACGGCTCGACCGATTCTTATGAAATTTTTTATGCATATTCAGTAAGTCTGAGAATCGTCTACTATCTATCTTTCAAACACCAAAATTTTTATCTTTAATTTTTTTAGACAATTTTTTTACACACAACCCCTAATTTTCACCCTTCTATGATCAACCTCTATTTTTTATTATAGTAGATAGTTATTTTTATTGAACTAAAAAAATGTTTCCTAGAAATAAAATACACGGCAAAACAACGTTTGCAGGGTCAGCTAGTTTAACCTAAAATTATTGTCAGAAACGTTTGAAAACTCTTATAAACACGACGTAAAATATTTTAATGCAAGAGTATTGTCCTTAACCTATGTATGAAGTAAACCGAAAGATAAATATAAAAAAATATCTAAGTGTTGTGTTATATGGCTATAGAATAATCCAGTGAGTAGTATCCGCCGGATTATTATATAGCCATATATATTATATACCCTATACGGGTCTGCGTCTCGGTTGCATCCGTTACTTTACTTTTTTTTTCATAGGCAAGTAGATGATCAGCCTTCAGTCTGACACAATTGATTTATGGATACGAACCTACGACTTCAAGGATGAGAGTTGCTTAAACCACTAAGCCAATGCTGCTTTTGAAGATGTATCGTATATATTTTCACGATTTATTACATTAAAAATTAAGTTAACTATTGCGTCATAGTTACGATTGCCCCGACCAAGTTTAAGTCAACTATTATTGCTAATAATTCTAAGAATATTGATCTTGATTTTCCAAATAATTAAACGTTTCCTTACATCGAACATGGTTGACGATTTTGTGACACCGCTTAGCGTTACATGTGACCAGTCATTTAAAGTGTCAGACCCTAACAAAGAGTCCCCGGAAGCTCTTTGACAGCGGAAGTGACGTTCCGCCGGGCCCCAATCATTTGTAATACGTACTTATTCCGCGTTTTCATTTCACAATACAAAAATTAACCTACTTTTCTCTTATCGTGTATTGTCTTAGATGAGATGACCTTACAATTGAATAAAGTTTTGATAATTTATAAGTTTATCTACGGATAACGTAAAATGAGATAAGAAATGCCAAGGTTTTGTTACAAATTATTGTTTTCATATAACTCGAAGTCATTTAAGAAGAAATTTAAAATACTACGAAGAAGAAAGACAGTTCGCGAGTGCGTTACTGGTCTCTAACTCTATCCATCTAACCGCTATAGCGATATCGTTGAAGCTTTAAAAGGTAAATTAAATAAATTAAATTACCTATTATATCATTATTAACCGTATAAATACGACATTATTGTTATTGTATACGCTTGTGATATTACAATATTCATTTGACACCCTAATGAGTCAGCAATAAATTAATTTTCAATTTAGATTATGACATGGCCGTAATCAGTGTATTTTGATATGATTATGATTTATAGATTTTAGAAAAATGTTTTTTTGTATTTTTGTTATGTGTATGTTTGTGTATAAGGTAATAAAGCATAAATAAATATGTATAATAAATAATAAAAAAAACTTAAACTTCTTAAATATTGTTTTTACGCACTACTGCGCTATCTATTGGCAGTTTTTATTACTATGACGTGGATACTTTCATTGGTGATTGATAGATGTCGCTACTTACAAAAAACTTTAAATGATCTTAGAAATACCAAGTAATCACAAGTTAAGAGATTTTTGTTCATTGCTAGAAGAATTCATTTCATGAAGAGTTCATTGCTGATCTGCAAGTAGTGTTGGCATGTAGTGGTTTCAACCTGCGACTCTCATCCCTGAGGTCGTAGGTTCCATCCCCGGATGTGCACCAATGGACTTTCTGTGTTTGTATGCATATGACGCTCGTGCGTTGGAAGAAAAAAATGGGAGGATAGCGCCATGCCTTGGATTCGAAAAAGCAACAGCGTGAGTCTGACTTCCGGCCCGATTCGGTGATCGGCCCAAGTGTCTATGTATTAAAAATGATCTAAGAAACTAAAACCAGAGATGTAGGGTTCTACTATTCGGGATTATTATTAGTTTTACTACATATGTTTTATTTAACTCCGATCAGAGCAAGCCGCTTTCGTGACTCACGCCCTGTTTACATTCAGACCTACACCAATAACGCAATGAAATTTCATAACAATATAATACAAATTATGGCAGTCAAAATTTATAGTTAAAACCGCGGTCATGTGAACTCGCAGCGGGTAAGATTAATTAGAGTTGTGGTTAAATTAATAACGTCCCAACACGCTCCCTGAACGTCCAGTGCCTTTGCGTTTAATAGCCCTTTTATACAAATCTAAACTTATACAAGTGGGT